CTAGCAACATTTTCAAATTTCTCGTCATTTTGTCTAGCTGCTTCTTTAATAATTTGAGATGTTTCATCGAATCTTTTGGAAACATTCTCATCATTTTTTCTAGAAGATTCTTCAATCATATGCGACACATTTTCAAATTTTCCATCAATTATTTTTGTTAAAACTGCTTCTTCTGCTGATTGAAACTGGAATGTATCTGGGTCATCTCCATTATTGTTAAGAACATTTTTCAGTCGTTCTTGGAGGATCTTCTTGGACCCGCTGCAGTCTTCATCGCGTTCTTCTAGTTGCTCACGCAACTGTTTCACTGAAAGTTCTACTAACAGCATCTTCGATCAGGCACACACGTACTTTTTAAATGTTCTTTCGTACAACGATCACTACCGAACTACGCGGATGTTCCCGACGAACAATACTTTTCAAAAGTTCAAAAGTCTCTTTTTTTCACTGTTGGATTTATCTTTAAATAGATCAATTGACCCCACACCTGACACCAACTGTACCGTTTTTAAATAAAACGAGCGGTTCGAATTTATATAAATATATTTATTTATAACTTTACAGTTCGGTATTCTCTTATCAACTAAACTTAACTCCTAATTCCGTTACATATATATATACCAAAGTATTATGTTCGAGAATATTCGGGACTAGTCCCACCTTTAATTCGTTATTCGACGGGTGGAATTTTACAGCGCTTGATATAGAGCCGACACTTCTCGATGCTTCGAGATGCAACCGTTAGGCGTGCTACTTAGATGCTGTTAGCTGCTGAACGCATGTTCGTAACAATAGTTATTCTGAAATCAGTAAACGAGCGATCCACAATTATTTTCATCAAAGCTATCTGAGCAAATAATTACGTATCATCATCATCATTTGGCTCTCCAACTTTATGTGACTCTTGGCCGCGTTTACTATTTCCCTCCATTGTTGTCGGTCCTGAGCAGCTATTTCCCATTGCTGTATTCCTATTTTGTGTAGATCACTGGCTACTGCGTCCTTCCATCTCTTTCTTGGGCGATCAACTAACCTTCTGCCATCGGGCCTTTCCCAGAATGTAGCGTTCAGGAGTCTTTCGTCACTCGATCTTAGTACGTGGCCCGCCCATCTTATTCGGTTTGTTTTAATGTACGTACTATGTTTTCATCTACAAATACTGTCTGAAGTTTATGATTGTGTCTTCTCCATTCTCCTGTTATCTCTTCACTGCAAGGCCCATAGATAGTCCGCAGTATCTTTATCATAGTCCATGTCTAGCTTCCATACGTTATTGTGGGACGAATTATTGTCTTATACACTCTTATTTATGCTGATATTGAGAATATTTTTGATTTAAGTACGGTCATTAATTAGTAAAATGCCCTGTTTCCTGCAATGATCCTGGCTGCTACGACCTTTTCATATTTATTTTCAGATATGATCACTCCCAGGTACTTGAATTCTTTGACGACTTCAAAGTTATATTCATTGATTCTTACGTTTTGTCTAACCCTTGGCCTTGGGTTCTTCGTAACCACCATGTACTTGGTCTTGTCCTCGTTGACCTTCAGACCAACTTCCTTGGCTCCGTTTTCGAATAGGGTGAAAACTTCTTTTGCATCTCTGGTGGATTGTGTAATTGTGTCCACGTCATCCGCAAACGCCAATAGTATTTTTGATCCTTGGGCGGCAAATCCGTTTGTCAGTTGAGCTTTCCTTACCGCATGTTCCAGTGCAAAATTAAATAACAGGGGGGCGAGAGGATCTCCTTGTCTAAGCCCAGAGTCAATGAGAAATTCCACCGACGTGGTGCTGCCAATTCTGATCTGTGCTCAAACGTTCTCTGTGCTCACCCGTGCTAATCGTACCAGCTTTCTAGGTACTCCCGTTTCTACCATGGTCTCCCACAATGCTTCTCTGCTAATAGAATCGTAAGCTTGCTTAAAGTCCGAAGATTTGGTGTACATCGCGGTTGATTTCCCAGTTTTTTTTAACACCTGGCGTAGGACGAATATCTGGTCTATGGTCAACCTTCCCGGTCTGAATCTTCACACCTAAACCTAGTTTTACCAGGCTAAACCCTAACGAAATGAAAACCCAAACATGGAACTATGTTCTGGCTATGTTAGAGAAGTTAGTTCTGCAGGAATTTGTGGTTTATTTTTTCTTATAGTTCCTGGAATGCTAAGTTTAAATTCCTGTAATAACTTTTCCGCTACAGTTAAATTTGTAAAAAAATTATCCATGGTAATATTAAAATTAGAATTACGAACTGGCTCAATCATACGGCTGACAAAGATAAGTTCGAATTAACTACATAAAACGGACCCAATGGCTGCTTGCCAAGATATACTTCCAATTTATAAATATATAGTAGGTACAACTTAGCATCAACTAGTGCATAAATCTTAATTCCACACCTGTTTGGTTTACTAGGGATGTAAACCCGAAATGGACAGTGCTCTCTAAATCATGTTAATATGTCATCTAATATTAGGTATATTGATGGATGAAAATGTTTAAGAAGGTTTAAAACAAATTCTTCAAAAATTTCTCTAGAGGCGGCAAATTTATCAGTCTCTTTTCTTACTTCTCTAATTATTTTGCTATCAAAACGAATGTGGGTAAGAAGGAATTGAAATCTTCGTTCAGGGATGGTCAACCGGTAAATTTCCATAGACATACCATTGGTTCGAAACAAATCTTGATAATTTTGACGGCCACTTTTATTTGCACCGGATATATACAACAATTCTATGAAAGATTTAGTATCAGTTAGATCCGTAGTCTTGTTTTTCGAAACAATAAATTCATTTGTACATTGCTATTTTAACTATTTTTTCCAAAACATTGTTTGGAAATAAATATGACCATATTATATATGGTTCCTTAGCCCTTTTGATATCACCCTTCGGTCCAGGTAAATGTGCTATATATAAGATTATGCTGGCGAGTTTTAACATTTAGTTTTTCGTTAACATGCTTTTTCCATCTGGATCCTTGGCTATAAAACAAGGTACTCGATATATCGTAACAAAGATATTATTACTAATAACATTTTCATTATCGGTTATCTACAATCTACATTGATCTACAATAATTGTTCTGACCAGTTAGGATGTTTTCTTCAGTTCGCACTTTGGGTCTGGCTCTGGCTTATCAGTTACGTTTCCCGTTTCTCTATAAATCTTCAAAAGCATCTCGGTTGTTGTAGTAAAACATTTAATTTTAGAGACACGGACAATTCACTAGAGGATTACAGGAATAAATCGCGTCACGCTGTTCTAAATTTGAATCGGTTAGGGAACCATGTTGCAGTTCTATTACTCAGGATCCCCACATGAAGAGCGTTTGGTTGATATTTCTGCCCCTATCGCACATCAGAGTGCTATAGGGAGGAAAGGGATGGCCTGGAGTATTGGAGCGGGGTGGAGTGACACCTGTTTTACTTGAATTAATACACCTCGCTCCAATGAATAGTTACTTCTTCTTCTACGGCACTAGAGCCGAAATTGAGCTTTGGCCTCCTTTATTTTTTGCCTCCACACTTATTGCTTGTGTGTGGCTGATCTTCTCCATACACGGACTCCTAAAAAGGGCTTGTGCGTCGCTGTTTACTGTGTCTTTCGTTTAAAGAAGTGTTACGCCCGAACATAGTTCCTAGGGGTGAATATGCTTCACAGTCTGGGTTTGATTATATTGCTTGCTTGTTGAGTAAACCCATTCTCCATTAATTCTTTGTCCATTTTCAAAATATATTTCGAGCATAGATCGCTTTTGTACATCTGTGAAGACAGTTTTTAATAATAATGTTGTGTACTAAAACTTTAAAAGTCAAAGTTGACGTAAACTGACAAGTGAAGGGGTAGAAAGAAAAAGGGGCCAAATCATTACAAAGGTAATTGTTGTTGGATTGTGGTAGATCTGGCTGAGTAATTCACATTGATATAAAGTTTTTTAGACGAAGTTTTTTGAAGTTTTTTAGACGTAGACCTTTATTAGGAGTAGGACCAGGAAATATAATTATGACATTTAGAAAAAAAATACTTTCTCCTTACTTTCTTCTTGGTCTACTTTTATCGTCCAAGATATTACCAAAGAATATAGACGCATATGCATCTATATTCTTTGATATTACTATGAAAACCGCAATTGTTTATACGACAAAATAGAGAAAACAAGTTGAAAAGTAAACTAGAACGAATTCGATAGAAGACCCACCTTAAAAAGATTACCAAAAAATGTGTTTTTTTTATGTGTATGTGTAATATTTTTCTGACGCAACTATTTTATGATCTCTGTGTATCTTCATTTACATGTGATTTGCATCACTGGTTGCGCCAAAGATAGGCAACATACAGTATGGGTTGCAGCACAGAATACTAATCACAACAATCACAAAGTTGTGATTAGTGTTCTGTGGTTGCAGTCACCAAGTTTCAATATTATAATTTTGTAATCAAAGTCACACATAAAATTCAAATTATGCGAAATCAAATATATATTATGAATTTTAGACAAAGCTTAATCAAATATTAAAAATTTCAGCCATTTGATCTGACATATACTTACAAAGTTAAATTAACACACACAGAAGCATAATCAAACTAAATCAAAATGTGATAAAGTAAATGTAGAAATGGTATAACAAACACATTTTTTGTGTTATTTACATCTGAAACTCTGTGATACAAACATATAACTATACTACAATACTATACTACTTATACTACAATATTTATCTATGGTATAAACTGTAAATTTATCCAAACAAACATTGTGTTTTGCATAAACCCCTTCACGGGAAACCAACACAACTAGTTTTTCAAAAAGAAGTATCCTGTCTGCCGTCGTCTCAGTGACCATGGCCAAAGGCCAAATCAGAAGAAGATTTTAACTTTTCAAATTTAAATTTCCATTCTTCCATTCAATTTACATATCTCCACCATATCTCTGCATTCAAAAAATAAAAACTTTAACCGAAAGTCTGAGTGTCACACCAAATCACTAAAAACTTGATGAAATCGGCGCTAAAAACTAAATATATTTTATCATCAATAAAAAAAATTCATTGCCATTTTTTGCTTCTCATATATTTATAAATACTTAATGTTGATAATTGAAGGTATAATGTGATTTGTAAACTTATTAGAATAATTTACCATTTTTTTAAAAAACTGTTGGCGTCATTTTAATTAATTTTTAAGGCATGGAGACAATTCAAGAAGTAACAATTAAGAATGAAATCAAAAACGAAAATGATTCAGATAGCGAGTTCAATAACATGAAGTTTAAGAAAGAATTAACTAAGAATGAGGACTACATTCAAGATGAGTACAACTTGGCTTTTGTAGGTAAGTTGTGTTTAATGTAGATACATTGTACCTATATGTAAAAAATGTAAAAGTTTGTGAGATTAACTACTTATGCCAAGATTCTTATTAAACACTCATCAATTAAATGCAGGATTATAATATACAAGAACTGTTGACAATTGGTAATTGCCATTTTTTGTTTGTTAAAAAATATAGAATCAATAATATTAAAATCTATACTTTCTGTATGTAGTTTGCCTTCCAGCATCATTATTTTATAAATATGTAGGTTTTTTCATTGGTGGTCTGGAATATATTTGATCAATATTTCCATATGAGGAGAGAAGCAGTTTCTGAATCCATTTATTTTTATATTACTTTGTTACATTTATTACAATTTATGTTCAACAAAGCAACAATACAGGAGCAGTGATCGGGACAAAGGCATCACAAGTTTGTGATGCCTCAACATATACAAAATTAAATTATTACAGATAGAAGCAAAATCACACAATGGAATATAGTAAATGTAAGAATGGTATAACAATTACTTATACATATTGGTATGTGTAAGATGGTAAATCTGAAACTCTGTGATATAAACATTGTGTTTTGCATAAACTGCTTCGCAGAAAACCAACAGAATTAATTAATTAATAAGAAGATTTTAACTTTTCAAATTTTCACTCCATAAAATCATAAAAACATTAACCGAAAGTGTCACACCAAATGACTAAAAACTTGATGAAATTGGTGCTAAAAACTAAATATATTTTATTGCCAATGAAAAAAAATTCATTGCTACTTTTAGTTGTCATATAACTACATACTGGGCCTAAATGTTGATAATTGAAGATTTAATGTGATTTATAAAAATATAAACCATTTTAATTAATTTTTAAGGCATGAAAACAATTCAAGAAGTAACAATTAAGAATGAAATCAAAAACGAAAATGATTCGGATAGCAAGTTCAATAACATGAAGTTTAAGAAAGAATTAACTAAGAATGAGGACTACATTCAAGATGTGAATTATAATGACGTAAAGGTACTACACACAGAAGTTTTTTTTGAAGATATGAAATGTGAACAAAATTCAAATGAATGCAACTTAGCTCTTGAAGGTAAAGTTAATGTAGATATACTTATATGTATTTTTATTTAATGCATAATCAAAAGGAAATGTATTAAAAATATATAAAAGTGTGTGAGATTAACTACAGTATTGTGCGAATTAATGGAATCATAGGCTGTTTTAATGAAAAAAACAGTTTATTTAGTAAAAAATTATGTTTTGACAAAACTATAAATGTAAACTTACATTATTCAGTAGGAAATACGTCCCCCTTTGGCAGCAATTACTGCTTTTACCCATTTTGGCATAGATTCTATGAGTTTCTGGCAGTTGTCAGATATCCTTTCATCTCAATACCAAACCTGAATGGCCGCTTCTATCATTTTTGTTTTAGTGGTACAGTAGATTTTTCGCAGTCTAGCTTTGCAAATGGCCCATAAATTTTTAATGGGGTTGAGGTCGGGCAAATTACCAGGCCAATCTAAAACATTAATCTTCTTATTTTTGAAAAATGCCATCATTTCCTTTAATTTGTGACAGGGAGCAGAGTCCTGTTGAAGAATCGCTCCTCCTTGGGGTTGACATTTTTGGAGTTGTTTGTCCAAATACTTTTCCAACATGGATTTGTATTTTTGGCTATTCATCATGCCTTCAATTGGCACCAAGGATCCAACCCCCATGTATGAAAAACATCCCCAAAACATTTTCTTGTGAATATTGAAAAAATGAAAAAAAATTCACAGTGATTCCATTAATTCACACAATACTGTACTTATGCCAAGGTTCATGTTAAACACTGATCAATTAAAGGCAAGATTATAATATACAACAACTGTTAATTGCCATATAAGCATTTTTTGTTTGCATATATAGAAGATAAATCATTCATATTAAAATCTATATTTTTTGTATCTAGAATAAGAAGAAATTTATTTATTCAAAAATTGTTGAATATTTTTAATCACACAGTCTTCTTTATATAAATTATACATTTGGTTTGAATCTAAATATTGCATCTGTGTATCTTTTTGACAATATTGGCTTTCTACACTGGGAAACATTAATATGATCCATCACTGACTGTTTTATTTTGTCAGATAATTTTGTAGCACACAGATTATTTCCTCTTTGATCTTCGCCAACTGTACTCAGTATTTTATCTTTTGTGGAAAATGCAGTTTTTATCATTTGACATGAAAGACACAATGAATTTAGGAAAAACATTCTACAAACTCTTTTCTTTTTTTCAGAAGTACAAAGATAATAGAAATCAGACATAGACCTATGTGATTGTTTTCTACTACTACCTGCCAACGTTTCTTTATCATCCTTATTGTCAACATCATTAGTGCAGTCATCAGTTTTATTATTCCTTGCTCTCAAGCGCATAATAGGCTACATTATTTTTAATAAAATTCCTCTGATGGTTAATTTTGCCTAGGTTCCAGAAAGTATCCAATATCGTAGTATGTTCTTCTTCTGTAGATTTTTGAAACACAATTAAACCTACAATTATTGAACAGATTTTTCTTTGCTCTTTCTTGCACTCTGTTGCCTCTATAGTTCATATACTCCTTTTTCTAATTCCTCTTACTTTTAATCTCATTTCTACGCCATGATTCTTCTGACCCTTTTTTTTTTTGGACTTAATGTTTTCAGAATTAGATGTAGTTGGCAAGTTATAAACATGTCCATCTACAAATTCAGTTTCAGTCACACTTTGTGGTCTGGAAATGGTAATTGAGGGGGTCAGTAGTAAAAGGGTTTAAGTGCCGTTTTGATAGTTCTGAGATAATCAGCGTCAAAGGTGTTTGAGTTTTATAAATTCTAGGAATAATTAAACTAAAATATGTCTATTGTACAATGTTCCATAAAATGATAAAAATATAAGGGTATATTATTACTTTTACTACATCTTTTCTGTTTTTCAATTATTGAAAAAATGTACTTGAATCAGGACATGGTGTTTGTATTATTAATCATTTTTTAAGTATTCAACTAAACTTTATTTTGTAAACTTTTAAGTACAATATCATTCAGATAATCCGACTCTAAGAAAATATCTTCTTCGCCATCATTCCCGTCGGCGTCGTCTCTGCTGGCAACTGATTTGCTAATTCCAATTTTGCATCTACCGTTGATGTTCCAGTATGTTTCAAATTTCGGTAAAAGGAGTGGTGACATAAGGGAATATAGTCGACCAGACTTAGCAGATTTTTATATTTGGCATCCTTAATTGGTAGTGTCATGTCATTAATAGGGTTCAATTTGGAGTGCTGAAAAGATGGACGTCCACTTTGTGCCTTTCCCATGGTACACATCGAAAACTCAATATCCTAGTTTAAAGTATGTTTGTACCTCAAAGTCAGTTTTCTGTCTTAAAATATGCCAACCAGGAAATACTGCGTCATTGTATTCTCTGACCAATGGAATCCTTTTTAGGATTTTTCATTATTTCATGTTGGATCGAAAACGAGTAAACATCTTCTGTCGTCATTTTTCTGTCTTAAAATATGCCAACCAGGAAATACTGCGTCATTGTATTCTCTGACCAATGGAATCCTTTTTAGGATTTTTCATTATTTCATGTTGGATCGAAAACGAGTAAACATCTTCTGTCGTCATTTTTAAACAACAAACTTTGAGGATGTATTTTTTATAATACGTTCTCAATCTGCTGGAACAAAAACTTGAGGAATTTGTTGTTTTTTCTTTTCAATTAAACCAAAACTGCGGTCACACTCCATATAGCTGTGACCAGGTTCCAGAAAGTTGTGATGGATCTCAGTGATATGAGCAGCTTGCACGATGAAGGAGAACAGATTGCAGATGTTTTTGTTTTTATTCTGCCCTCCAAAAGAGTCACTATGCAACAGATATGAAAAAATACGGATATCAAGACAATTTAAAAATGTGTAGCTGTAAATGGTTATTTTCTGCTGCTTTACACACCAAACATGTTTTTTTGAAGCCATATCTCTAATCCTTTTTTAAGAGCATCGCGTCACTTGCACAAGTATCTTCTTGACTTTGAACGTAGCACAGCAGAGCCTTGATTGAACTACTTCAATGCTTCGGAATGACTCATCACGACCGAATTTTTGTCAGTGTTTTAATCCCCTTCGTTGTCTGAGTTTTTGTCATGATTCTTGCACACCAGGCGACCATGTTAAATAATTCGCCATTAGAAGGGCATATATGGATTCATTTCGCATAATGTTTGTTTGTTTGTTTGTTTATTTAACGGGATGAACCCTTTTTCCTTACAAAAATTACAATATACACATAGATATAATTAACATATAAACTGTAGTCATATATTACAATTTTAAAAAATATTAATAACATTAATGTCTCAATTTCTTTAAACTGTTCTTGAACGAGGACATGGATAAATTAAACAATTCAACACTATCTTGCAAATTATTGGCAGTTCTCAACATCCTTGTGATTGACTCACTTTTACCATAATTAGTGTGATGAAACTTTAGTCTAAACAGGTCAGGAGAGCGTGTTCTTCTAGAATTTACATTAAAAACAATTAATTCCAGCAGTTCCGGACAATCAACATAACCATTAAGAATTTTATGCAAAAAACGCAATTCACACTCAGATTCTGTATTTTCTAAAGTTTTCATATTAAGTTGACAAAGAATATAGTTATAATCACAGTTAGTTCTATTAAAACCCATTTTATACCTGCAAATTCTTAGGAATTTATTTTGAACTCGTTCCAACTGATCAATATACATATTATAATATGGATACCAAATAATATTACAATATTCCAAAATGGACCGAACTAGAGAACAATACAAAATTTTGAAAGTAAATATTGAAAATTCTCGGGAGTTCCTTTGAACAAAGCCGAGCATTCTATAAGCCCGCGATGTAATATTATTAATATGCCTATCAAACATTAGTCTTTGGTCAAATGTAATTCCAAGGTCTCTAATTTGATTTACTTCTGTAATCGATACTCCCTTAAGTATGTATGTTCTATATAACTGATGTTTAGTATTTCTGGAAAACGTAATTTTATAGCACTTTTTTATATTTAAATATAAGGCATTAATGTCACACCAACGAGATAAATTATTTAAGTCAGACTGAAGAGCATCCATATCAGAGGTATTTTTAATTGCTTTAAAGATCTTTATGTCATCAGCAAACAATAGAAATTCACTATTATTAATTACTGATGATATATCATTCACAAACAGATTAAATAGAAGTGGGCCTAAGTGAGAACCTTGAGGTACACCCGAAGTAACATTAATCGCTTCAGAAACAAAATTACCATATTTTACTATTTGTGAACGATCTGTTAAATAACTCGTGATCCAATCCAATAAATTATCTCCAATTCCGTATCCACGAAGTTTAGCAATTAATATTTCGTGATTTACCCTGTCAAATGCTTTGGCAAAATCAGCATATATGGAGTCAACTTGGTTTCCCGATTCCATAGAATCAACAATGAAGTTTGAATACAAAATAAGATTTGTACAAGTAGATTTCTTTTGATAGAAACCATGTTGTTGACCGAGAATTAAATTTTTACAATCGTAGGTTAACATATGGTTAACAAAAAAATCAAGCAACTTTGGTAGTTCAGACTGCAAACAAACAGCCCTGTAATTTTCAACATTATTATTTTGACCAGATTTAAAAATGGGTTTTAAAAAACTCACTTTCCAAAAATCAGGAAATGTAGAAGAAGTTAAGGACTTATTGAATAATAACTGAATAGGTTTAGCAAGAGTGAATACACATTTTTTAATAAAATACATTGGTATACCATCTGGACCCGCTGTCAGTTTCCACGGATTATTCTGTATCTTATCAATAATATCCTTAACATTAATTAAATAATTATTAGCATTAACATAATTTTCGTACTTAAAATTAGGAATCTGATTTATTTTTTCTTTATTATAGACAGTCGAAAAGAACCCAGCAAATAAATTCACAATATCTGAACCATTTTCACTACTTTCATTACCATAACTCATACTCGATGGTAGAATATGAGATTTGCGTTTATTATTAATATATTTCCAGAAATAACTAGAATTATGAAAAATGCTTGCCTCAATTTCATTCACATGACGCCTTTGTAAATACTTGCTAAGCTCTTTACATTGTTCCCTGAGATCGGAAAAAAGACAATAGTTTTCATCACCACCAGTCATTTTAAATTTTTTATGTGCTTTTTTCTTCTCATAAAGTAAATGTTTTAACTCTGATGTAAACCATTTGGGATATGTAGATGTTTTAAATTTTTTTAATAGGATAAACAATTCGATTAAATAAAATAAAATATCATAAAAATCTTTAACTACGTCATTAATGCTTTTGTTAAGAAATAATAAATTCCAGTCAACTTCTGCTAAATAATAATTTAAAGCAACATAATCACCATTTTTAAAGTCAAAATAGTATTCTTCATAATTAAGGACAGATTCTTTTATATCAACAATTACGTCAAAATTGACTGGTGTATGATGAAATCACTCCTCAAATAACGGATCCAGAGGTACAGAAACAGATATATCAGGAAAGCTAGAAAAAATTAAATCAAGAAAAACATTTCTCCGGTTGGATATCGTATTGACCTGGTATAAGTCACAAATATTAATGATATTACATATATCGTTAGCTGGTGAGTTTGGGTTAGTCCTGTACCGTGGTACCATAAAGACTGTTAACCCAAACTACATCAGGTAAATTATAATCCCCACAAATTATTAATTTACAATCCGGAATCTTATTATATATATATATATATATATATATATATATATATATATATATATTCAATACTATCACAGTGTTCTATATATACATGCCTATCAGATGCAGGAGGTAAATAAACACCACCAAATACGACAGTTTGACTTTGACACTTGTGAAACAAACATTTGCTCAACACTATTTTGAGGAACAAAAACCTCACACACTTCCAAATGTTTGGCCACAGCTACTAATACTCCCCCACCACGTTGTTTGACACTAGTATTATAATTTCTATCACTTATAAAAATGTTGAAGTCTTCTAACTCCAATTCTGCATCATGGAATTCAAAATTTAACCAAGTTTCGACTAAAACAATCACATTGTAATCGGCGCATGACACTGTCTGGCTTAAATCCTTAAGCTTTGTTCTTAAACCACCCACATTTTGAAAATAAACATTTAGTACAGTTCTACCATTATGATCATTAACGCTACTTTTTGATTGCTATCTTTGATAATTTATCTTCTCTTTGTTTTTATTAATTCGCAATACATCCTTCGCATAATTACAATTAGAACAAGAATAATTAGTACTGTTGCATTGATTTTTTTTATGTTTACCTGCACATAAAGGACATGTATCTTGTTTGGCTTGACATTTGTCAATAAAATGTCCGAATTTCCAACAACGAAAACATCGCATTATACTTACAAATTCAACAAATTTGTAACTGTTCCACCCGATATGAACTCTATCTTTTTTTGAAATTAAATATTGAAATTCTCTAGAGGACAATTCAACAATTACATTCACAGAATCGTTTCTACTTTTTTCTGATTTAAATTTATGTATAATTTTAGCTTCTGAAATGTATCCAAAGTACTGTAACTTTCGAGATTTGATGGTGGTCAGTACCTCTCGGTTCTTCTTCATTCTTCTGAGGACCTCTTCATTAGTAACTCGGTCAGTCCACGGGATTTTAAGTATTCTCCGATAGAGCCACATCTCAAATGCTTCCAATTTTATGCACATATCTTCGTTCAAGGTCCACGATTCAACACCATAAAAATGAAGAGAGCAGACCTAGCATCGTAGTATTCTTACTTTTATACCAAGAGAGAGGTTGTGGCTCTTGAAGAAGGCCACCATCCGGTTGAAGGTGGATTTTTTGAAGTGGAAACGAGTAGCAATGATAAATAAAAGATACTAAATTATTCGAAATTACATAAACAAAATGGAATATTTTAAAAATGAAAAACTGTAACCCATTTTACTCATTGTACCTATGTAGTTTTCCAGTACTTATTTTTCGTAATTCGATATTACTTATATGTAATAGTAAAAAGTTTTTTTCATCGTTTTCAAAGAAAACCTTTCATTTTACATCTGCAAAGTATGTTCGTTTGTGCGTTAATGCCTATGCAATACTTGGGGACGAGCTATCGATGGATTCATATATAGTTTTGTCTCCTGAATCAAAATCTGAAAACGGCATTTTGATATCTCGAACCATCTTCGACATAACTGGCATCAAAGTCAAAAATAGTGACGTCACAATCCTTCTAAATATACAGTTTGTCCCAAACCCTTTTTTTAGTGCGTCACTAATTTTGACGTCATATAGGATTTTAAGAATGTCGAGAATTATTGCATGACATTTTAGTTAAATCTGACAGTTGCAGGATCGTAATCGGCTAAACGTGAAAAGGTTATTTTTTTTAATGCATAGCAGTTTGTCATAATTCTATTCTATTCTGTTCTATTTTATACATTCCATGGAAAGTGCTTAATTAGCTAAGATTTGTTTATGGATTTATTATTATTTATTACAAACACTAGGGAATTGGAAGGTTTGTTTATTTAAAATAACGCTTCCTCCTAGAATCTTTTAAGAGTTGACTGCAAGGTAAAAAAAATTACTGACAATTGCAAGGCATCAAAGTAAACATTCCTGCGATAAAATAATATCGATTTAAATCAGTCATATTTGGATAAGGAATTTTCTGATAAGTTTGTGTGGCAGCCAATAGTTTAATTTTGTGAAGAGTTGTCATTAAATAGTGGAAATAGTTTAAATAGTGAAGCAGTTGATTTTTGAGTTATTCTACCAGATTTGGTGTGCAAATGAAAGAAGGTTATAAAGTTTAGTTAAAAAAACAATATAAATAGTTTAAATAGTGAAGCAGTTGATTCTTGAGTTAATCTACCAGTTCCGATATCCAGATGAAATCGTGTTAATGGAGTTTAGTTAAAAAACAAGATACAGAATGTAAGTTTACCTTCTTTTTTATGAATAACAAAAATGAATATTATATTTCAAACAATCTATAATCCCATTCAGAATCTGATTCTTGAAAATCAATGATTACACTAGATATGTGGCTGGTATCAATTATATCCTACATTTCAAGAAAATGTCGTGGTTCTAAAAAGAACCGTTTTAATACATATAAATATCCATAAAGGTATTAGTTTAAGATATTTCCTCAATATCATTCCGGAATTCACAATCTGATTCGCGAGCGACAGAAACTGAAATAAAGATAACTCAGCCTCATTTTCTAATTGAAACTAATTTAATAATTTTAATATTAGTCTTTTTTCATTCTCGGTATATCTCGGAATATTTAAAATATTTTTATGACAATAAATACAGAATTTAATTTTCACTGTAGTTAAAATGTCTGAAAATACTAACCTGGAATGGCAATTATCATTTTATCAGTTGTTGTGAAAGTACTGTCACTGTCATTATCAAGATCATCTGTGTCAAATTATATTTATATGCATAATTGATTGGATATCTATTTAGCATATTCTAAACTCCAACCAATTATACGTTCGTAAGTAGAATTCGCTTTAATATGCGAATACCCGTAAACGATACCTAATTTTCTAATTTCTATGTATAATAATAAGCGACTCACGTTTTTTTCTGTCACTTCTAGCTTAATGCGTTAGAGAGAATTCGAACAACTATGACGCACTGAAAAAAGGGTTTGGGACGGACCGTACATTCGTTTCTGCTGACACAAATAAATGTTAAATCGAAATCGAAACGTCGACTACATAAATTTTATTTATTAATGTTAATGTAATGTTAAATGTCTATCACGCAATAATATATGTATAAGTATTTTCCCTAACTTTTCCACAAGAATTTGTAATATTATTACTTATTTCCAAATCCACTAGGAAACTAAGTTCCTGTAGCTGGCTGTATACCATATATCACAAAAAATTTATTTAAAATCCTTTATAAAAGGTATATAATAAAATGCCCAAACGGGCTATCACAAAGATATTGCAAAACGTTTTCGGATTTTTAAATCCATCATCAGTGCAAACGAGGTATACATGCTATGAGCCACCAAAATATCAAATTTATATCATTTAAAGGGTTTGGACCCGGTGGCTCATAGCATGTATCCTCGTTTGCACTGATGATGGATTTAATAATCCGAAAACGCTTTGCAATATCTTTGTGATTTTTATTATATACCTTTTATAAAGGATTTTAAATAAATTTTCTTTTTATTTCCAAATATTGGTCTTAAAGCGTAAAATGTATAAAAACAACTTTCTATTTTTTGCCTTTTGATTAATACCACAATTAACTAATGATGTGTGAATGAGTTTTCAAAAACTAATGTTTTAGTATACTTCTTTGGAAGATTAATCATTGATTACTATTATTTTAACAATAATCCTAAAAATTATAAATTAATTCATTTCAAAGTCAGATCTACATCTGTAGAATCTGCTAGGATCTTAATACAACCCTGTACGATTTTATAAACATCAGGTTTCACGTGTTCTGTGTATGTATTTATTGACCGCAACTTTTCTGTTAAATGAATTTAGTATAGTGCACTTTATTGATTTTGTTTTTTATTTTAGATTCTTATAAAGTTGAAGAGAGTGGATCCATAGAACCAGTCAAGACACCCCAGCTTCATGAGTGTGAACAATGTTTTAAAGTTTTTACTGCTCGCAGCAAGCTAAACAGACACTTAAAAACGCATGCCGAAGACAAACGTATTAAATGCGAAATTTGTTCAAAAACTTTTAAACAACGCAGTCATTTTAACACCCATCTTCAATTGCATTCTGAAGACAAACCATTTAAATGTGAGTTTTGCTCTAAACAGTTTCTAGAAAATAATAGGCTGAAAATTCATATGCGGGTTCATACAGGAGAAAAGCCTTATAAATGTGAAATATGTTCCAAAGAGTTCACGCTTAAAGGCAGTTTGAAAAATCATATGTACACAGATCATACGGAACAAAAACCACTATTTAAATGTGATGTCTGTTCGAAAGAGCTTAGTACAAGTGGTAGTTTGAAACGGCATATGCGAGTGCATACTGGAGAAAAACCATTTCAGTGTGACCTTTGCCCCGCTCAGTTTGCAAATAATTATGCTTTGGGTATCCACAAGCGTGCTCATACAGGGGAACTTCCCAAATGCGATATTTGTTTTAAGCAGTTTAGTGAAAATAGTAAATTAAAAGTACACATGAGGACGCATAACAGCAAAGCATCTTTTCAATGTGAGGTATGTTCGCAGTCATTTGCGGAACATAAGAGATTGATAACACACATGCGAGTGCATACAGACGAGAAACCTTTCAAGTGTGAAATATGCTCAAAACAGTTTGTTACAAATGGAAGTTTAACGAGACATATGCTTATTCATTCTGAAGAAAAACCTTTTAAATGTGACGTTTGTTCCCGTCAATTTACACAGAAAGTTAACTTAGAAAAACATTGTCGTCTACATACTAAAAGAAAATCTACAACCTAACAGACTGACATTTTATTTGGTTGAAAATTACAATGTGGAGAGCTCCGACCGAGTAAATAAAATGCACGACTAAGGATCTTAATAATTACCAGATTCGTCAAAACAAGTTTCAGAATTTATAATATTTTTATGTGAATAAATTATTTTAAATTTTTGTTTATTTAATACTGCATCCATATAATGGCTCTACAGTGTAAGTCTGACCTTAGCCTCCTTCAGGCTCAAAACTAGATGATAAACCTTTAAAATATGCAAATTGTATTATTTTGAAGAGTTTATACGAATTTTTTTAAAAAAGTCCAAAAATCTCTATATTTTTCGGTGGATTTACCCATATATAATAAAAGGGAGGGTGGTTTTTAAATATTTTAAAAGTTTATCATCTAGAACTTTGTATATACATTCGAAAAATTTTTTGTTTTTTAAAATCGGTTAAGAAGGTTCGGAAAAAAGTGTCTGACCAGTTTGAAAATGTTACTTTTGAGAAAAAGGCATTTAAAGTTTTTTTTACATAATTTTCGTGAATAAAAGGCTGATAACTTCATACTCACGTTTAATCGGCCATTCCTGGTGAATATTGAGGACCGTCTTCATCCAACAATTGTTGTAAATGGCTTTGTAAAGCTGTAAATTTCAATACAACGTCGCGATGTTTTATAATTAATTCATTTGTTTGACTGGAGTCTCACTCTCAATTCACGCCGCGATGCTGCCAGTGTAAGTGTAAAAACGGAACACACCTAGATCGCATGTTAATTCAACGAAAACGTACTTATTTATAAATGTAGATATTAGAAAATATTTTATAACTAAAAAAATGGTTGTTTTATTGCCAAAACGGCTTAAAAAAAAGTTGATTTCTAAAATTAAAAATAAAAAGGAATTTTAAAAATAAAATAATTATATTACACTCTTATTAATTTAAAATTATAAACAATATTTGGATTAATAAATGTTTTATAACTCAAATAATACCTAATGAACACAAACAAAATTGATGTTAATAAAACATTATTTATTATCTGCACAAAACCGGACTTTCAGGAAAAATCGGTAGACGGAGCAACACTGTCGGCGTATATACGCTACTGCTACTATAAACTACTGAGGAGAAGTGGAAATATAAATCCAGTGGAACAAATAAATTAGTTATAAAACATTGCGACGTTATAAAGAAACACTGGTTAATTGCAACTCAGAGAATCTTAGTACCTATTTGTAAAAAATCCTATGTTCCGGATTTAAAATTCCAAATGTGTATAGTAACTGCCAAACGTTATACTGATATACATACTGTATAAAGAGTCACTAATACATACCCAACGTATATACAACATATATACAAAATCAAGAACAGCTGGAGCCTCGCGCTCGCCGCGCGGAGAGAAATTGGTTTTTATACGTGCGTAGATGACGTTAATAAAATAACTATAACTTATATTCTAGTGGGAATTTCTTTTTAAAAATTTAGGAGGGAGTTTTTGAATGTAAATGGAAGCGATTTATAAAAAAAAATTAAAATTGATTTTTTGAAAGTTCCGCATGAGACTGTCCCCTTAACCTAAAACTTTTTTTTGCACCATAAAAGGAGTTAGCTTTTTTACATATTCAGTAAGAAATAGAAAAAAGGAGTTAGCCTGTTTTTTTTAACATATTTTAAAACAAATTAATATAAAAAACTAAAATTCAAAAGAATCAAGAAAAAATAAAATATTACAGTATATAAATTTAGATTGTTTAAAAAAATGTTTATTTATGAGGTAGATTATTGTAGTATGAATGATAATAATCAGTTGGGATAAAAATCTTTATATCTTGAAGATCCTGAAACTTATGGTTGATGGCAATCTATCAGAATGGAAGTTCGGCAGCTGAGCAAATGATTAGTCATTTTATCACGCCGTTGGGGAAGTAACTTCCATTTTTTTTTTTAATTTATTTTATAAAATACGTCACCATTTGCCGTATATTTCAGGGCTCTGATTTCATTAACTTTGAAAAGAAAAATTAAAAATTTTTACTGCCTTACCTGTTAAAGGTGAAGAAAAAAAATACCTTGAGATTCCCATTCATTTTTCCAGGTCGAATGGATTTAAGAACTTCGACATCATTAAACGGCTTAAAGAATAAATGTGCCAAATATTCAACGTAGTATGGTTTTGGATTTTTGCGAGCACTTCGGCAAATACCAATGTATTCAGCAAGTACATTAATAATTGTATTTCAAAGATTTTTTTTCGATGGAGGCATGCATAGAATCTACCTCCATCTGTGTGTGACTTACTTCAACGTACATCTGTTCAATAACGATGTTTTTGGTCATTGCCACATTAACAAAGCATTTGAGGCCGTAACGTTTCAATTTTAAGCTGCGTATCCATCGCTGTAAATCACTACTTGTGGTGTCCAAGAGTTGTGGTAAAACTTTATCTATAAGAAAGTATAAAATGACAGAAGCAAATTCTTCAGCAGAACCTCCACCTTCTGTTTCATTCCATAAAAAGCAGTATGCTTACTTAGTTTTTAAATCTAATGAATAAAAATTATGTACATTAAGTTTAGATTGGTAATACAGTGATGATACATTAGATTTTGGTACTAATAGCAGAGCCTGAACATCAACTGCAAATACGTAGTTTTCACAGTTTTTATGCTTTTCTTTTTCAGCACGAGCCTGCTCTTGTTGTTTGTTTCTTTTATTCATCTTCAGATACAAAACCCAATTTTTATGGCATGCATTTTTCGCAGGCGTCTTTTTAAAGATAAAATAATGATATGTTTTCCATATCTAAAGTGTTATTAAATTTTGCCACCGATACAGGCAATACGTTGTTTGTAGAACTCCAGTCTGACACATAATAATCGTAAAGCGACTGTTTAGATAACAACCGTATGGGCACGATTTCACGTTTAAACTTTGGCGCAACACGGAGTTGGCGCTTTTACCGTAGTGGGGGTCTTATGCATGGAGGTAGCTTGTTTTTGGGCAGGCTATTTGAAAGGTTTACGATAAAAATTAGGAGTTAGCGGTTTGTGAACTGATATACAGCTAGGTAAAGAAAGCAATACACACATAAAACGATATTACGAAAAAAGTGGAGTTAGCTTGTTTGCAGATTAAGTTATCGATAGGTATATGACAAACTTTAAATAGTTACAAAGAAACATTAAGTGTATTCATACAATCAATCAACTTTGAAGTTGCAACTAGGAAGTCTCCAGGGCTACCATTGTAGGATCTTGAGGGACAATCTTCAATAATGTGTTCGATGGTTTGGTTCTCCCCACAGTCACACTGAGGTTCTTTCCCCATTTATGTAGCATGCATGCACATCTGCCATGTCTGGTTCGGATCTTATTTAGAGTGGACCATGTTTTGCGTGGAAGATCAAAATCTGGTGGTTTGTGGATAATGCAGGACGTGTTATTTTGCCATGCGTTCCATTCTTGGGACCATGCATTCGTGATGTTGAACTCCTCTTTCTTGCCATTTTTATTGGTGGTTTTCTAAAACGGAGATGGGTATTTCGTGCATCCTCGGTATCTTAGTGGATCGGCAGGTTTATATTATTTATGATCTTTTTGTATTCACGTGTAAGTGCGTCAACTCGTCGTAAATGTGGAGGTGGGATGTGATTTAATACTGGAAGCCATTGGGTGGGAGTTGATTTAATTGTACCAGCTCTCATCCTCATAGTGCTGTGCAGCTGAGTGTCGACCTTTTTTATGTGTGGCCTGCGTAGCAAAGCTGGAGCATAATATTGCCTTCAATAACTATGAAACCATATCCAATTTTTGTCCTTTTCCCATTAGTCTTTTCATCTGCTTCTATCTTCCTAAGGTTTCTTTGTATTTCTATATATTTTAATGTTAAGTCACATTCTATATATACTCTGTTGCTTATAGTTCATTAGTTTACCCTTGGCTTTCAGTGTTTACATTTTATCTTCGAATTTTTTACATTCAATAACAAACATTGATTCATTTATCTTTTGTATCCTATTTATTTTTGATTTTACTCCCATTTTTGTTTCTAGGAAGTTCTCTAGTTGCTCTGCTTCTATTGTTTCTATTGTAAGCCTCTCAGTATGAGGTTATTTTTCTTCTTTTCTTTCTGACAGGTATGCCTCCAAGGTTATTTCTACTTTATCTATATTTTGTTTCATCGTAGTTCTTTCTTTAGATTTTCATTTTCTGTTATTATTTCTTTAATTTGCAATTTGTATTAACTATTTTCCTTTGTAATTTCTTTTAGTTCCTCAATCATATTATTCATTGTATTTTTTATATCTTCCAGCTCCTTGTTTTTCTTTTTAATATCGCTTGCTAATTGTCTCATTAGTTCCATCATTTCGTTCTGGCTGCTGGTTTCATTCGTTGATGGTTTCGACCTGTCTGGTGTTCGGATCACTTTTATGCTCCTGCTGAATATGTCTATCTCCTCTTGCTTTTTATTTTACCATCTTCATCAACATTACCATCCGCCATCTTTCTTCTTATTTAAATAATTAAAGTATTTATAAATATAAATATTTGTAACGGTTACGGATCGCGACAAGCACCGCGCCCACTTCAACAGTTAAATCTTTCACATAACCAGCTCAATTATATCATTTTATTGATATAAGTAATTGAGCTGGTTAGGTTATATTTAAATTTTTATTGACATTTTTGCTCAAAATATCAATAGAAATATGAGATCAACTTGTACAAATATTTTGATATCCACATTCCTTCCAATGAATAATCTTAATAAAAGTAAGATTTTAAATAAATTGAAGGTTTTTTAACTATAAAAAAATAATCTTCTTACAAGAAATGGCGAAAAAGTTATTCTAATTGTTTATACGCAAACAATCGACATGTTTTTACAAAATTATTTTGTAATATTTAAAATTAATTTTCTTAATTTTTTTTTAATGTAAATAAAAGAACAAGTCTTCATCTTCCAGAAACTACCCTTCATCATCATCATCATCATTCCTCAACCTCTTGCATCC